CAACTTTCCACATCTTCAACAATGCTTCAAATTCCGTAGCAACGTGCTGGTACATTTGCTAGTGTCTTAACTATTTGAACACCGTCATCATATTTTTACTCCGTTTGGTATACACGTCATTTTCTTTCTAGATAAACTTTATTCTTTGAAGTTTCTGCAGGGTGCATTCCAATTTAACCCCTTAAATGTTTGTATAAAACTTATAGTTATCAGGGTAGTTCTATTCGCGTGCAGAAGATATTTTTTAAATCACGGCGTGCTATGCGCGACTTACACGTTTTAAATGTATTTATATGCATAAATTGACAAAAGGAAAGTCAAATATTTGAAGTAAATGAATAATCTTAGATCATGCTAGAAGAAATTCCTCATAAATCAATTAAACCAATTGAATTTACATAATAAAATTTATCTCTATAGAATTTACAATAAGAATAGAGAAAATAATATTTAATGAACAATTGATTGAATCACATTATTACTAGCCCATTGTGAGGCTAAAACCCAACCATCTCCCTTAGTGTAGATAATATCGTTTGTTAAAAAAAGTATAATTATTTGACAACTAGTTTAATTACATTATTATTTGCGTGAGAAATTATTATCTGTGTGCGAAAGACTTTTTTTATAACCAGCATTATACACCTCTTAAGATGTTTTGAACATGTTTAAAAATAAAGAAAATAATATTGAAAGAATAACTAATTGAATCACATTATTGCTAACTCATTGTCAGGCTAAGCCCACTCCCTCCTCCTTAGTATAAATAATGTCGTTTGTGAAAAAGAAAAAATTAATCATTTGATAACTAATTTAATGACGTTATTATCAGGAGAGAGAGAGAGAGCGATGTGAGGGGTGAGGGATGAGGGATGAGAGAGGGGGGTTTAATCACGTTATTATCAGAGAGAGAGAGAGAGCGATGTGAGGGGTGAGGGATGAGAGATGAGAGGGGGGGTTTAATCACGTTATTATCAGGAGAGAGAGAGAGAGAGAGAGAGGAGAGAGACGTGAGGGGTGAGGGGTGAGGGGTGAGGGGTGGGGGGAACAGATGGAACCCCTTACATTTTGTTAATCTTATTTTTTTGTCCAACAATCCAATACTTTATATTTTATTATGATCAAATTATCAAATTACCCTTACATAATTTGATATATTATTTTGGATAGGTTTTAAATGGGATGACCCAAAATTTTGTCGCCATCCGTGAGCCTCTCGCTTATCTATATATAGATAGATATTCTCGCCCGCTTGCAAGTCAACTAAGTCAAGTATTCAACCTTCGCATATTGTTTATTAGCTGCCATATGGACCAAGTCTTTGAAGAAAAAATCAATGTATGGAAAGCGCTTAAATCCTTCAATTATGCTAATTTTGTTCTTAGTTTTTGTCTTTTGAAAGTTGAAAACTGTAAAAACATCTCCTCTTTTTTCTTTTCATACAAATGACATTCTATTTTATATGAATATAATTTCGTTTGTACCAAGGGGTGGGGTGGGAACATAACTTAAAATATGGCTACACCCATATTTGCAGCTGAAAAACACTTTAACATAAGTGTTTGTATAAAACTTATTTGTCGCAATGTCTTTTTTTTTTTTTCTAATTTAATACACTATTATCTCATTTGCTTGCCAGTCACTACTATTTCAATCCCTATCGACCTTCTGGAAAACTCATGGTGACTGCGTTGTGGGAAACACTGGTAGGCTTTTCAGAAGGGCGAACATGATTGGAATTTCTGTGTGTTGAAAAGGCAGGTTCTTTGGAAGGTGGAAGAGATGTAGATTCATTGCCCTGCAACATACGAATTACCGAAGACATTGTTGGTCGATCAGCTGGAGCTTCTTGAACACACAAAAGCCCTACATAGATACACTTCAAGGCTTCATCGAGGTGGCACGTTTCCCTTACCGATTCATCGATCACCTCCATTCCTCTTCCTTCTTTCCACAACTCCCATGCCTAATTAAAATGTTGAATTTACGGTCATTTGCTAATTTGGAGGCTTAAAGATAGAATGATTGTGAGCAAGAATAATTTTTCAGTACTTACCCATCCAGCAAGAGTTGGTGAATGTTCAAAGCGATAAAAAGCAGCATTCTTCTTTCCGCTTACAATCTCCATCAATAACACTCCAAAGCTGAATACATCTAATTTCTCAGAGAAATGACCATATCTAGCATATTCGGGTGACATGTAACCGCTGCACATGAATTGACAGTATGTATAGAAGTAAGCAATAGAACATTACTTGAATGAAAACATGTGCCAGGTACATGTAGACTTACTATGTGCCAACAACCCTATTGGTATTTGCTTCAGTCTGGTTTATCCCGAAAATTCTTGCCATTCCAAAGTCTGAAATTTTGGGGTTCAAGGCTCCATCCAACAGTATGTTACTTGCTTTTAGATCCCTGTGGATGATTTTCAATCTAGAGTACTTGTGGATATAAAGTACTCCTTGAGCAATGCCTTCTATAATTCGAAAACGTCTTCCCCAATCTAATTCTCTTTTTTCAGATGCATCTGATTGGACAAACCATGAAGAAAAATGAGCAAATGTTTTTCTTTTCATTTTAGATAAAATGTTGGACACAGTGCATTTGATCTTGCAGTACACGGCATTTAGACACAAGGAAAACAATATATTTGCAGAATGAATCATAAGTCATTAGCAGACACACACACACACACACATACACACACACACACACATACCAAACAAAAGTTTGTCCAAGCTCCGATTGGGCATGTACTCGTAGATCAATATCATTTCCTCGTCTTCAAGACAGCAACCCAAGAGCCTAACGAGATTGGTATGTTGGAGCTTGGCAATAAGTTTTAACTCATTCATGAACTCCAGTTGTCCTTGACCTGACTTTTTTGATAACCTTTTTATGGCTACTTCTTGATTTTCAGCCAAAATTCCCTGCACAGAGGAAGAAAATCGCACAAGAGAAAAAAATGTTAGAGAAGTAAAAAGGAACGATCATGTTTCTGAAGGGAGAAATTATTTTCGAACACTCTTTTTTGTCCTTCTGCACCCCCTTGTGTATTTTGCTCCATGATTCATCTTATTGGAATTATTCAATCTAAAGGTCATAAATAAACATGAAGTGTGCATGAGGAGAAAAATGTTTTAGTATTTAGAGTACACAGTGGAAGTATCACCTTGTAGACAGGGCCAAATCCTCCCTCTCCGAGTTTATTAGCTTCAGCGAAGTTGTTTGTAGCAGCTATTATAGCCCTTAAACCAAAGATCGGCAGTTCTGCATCGTTGTTTTCACCTCCAGCAGCAAATTTACTTTTAGTCTCACCATATCTATTCCTTTGCTCTCTTTTCTTTCCCAATGTCTTCTTCCATAAGAAATAGCCAAAAATGACAAGAAGCAGACCTGTGACTGTTGTGACAATTGCAATCACAAGGGACGGCTTAATTAAATCTGCAAAGAAAAGAAAAAAATCACTGGGACAACATTAAGATTAACGGCTCCACGTAAGACATGAATAATCACTCTGTTATTACCTTTTTCTTAATGTCGGAAGCTGCAGCTCTGATATATAAAGTTTTTCCACCACCGTCACTTGCTACAAGTTCTGGCAGAAAAACATCTCCATGCCATAGATAACAATAACTGTTGCTCTCATAAGCATAAGCAGTGCAATGGCATTCATGTAAACAGGCTGATCTACAACTTTCGATACCAAGAGCGTATCCGTATTGGTTATTTTCAGGCAATGAAATGCTATGTATTTCTAGAAACTCGTCTCCCAAAAACCCATCACCCGTCCCATTCGCACTAGTAGCATTCCCACACTGCATACTGGTTCTTCTTGAACACCCACCAGAATAAATCTGCAAGTCCCAATCACTCTGCCGGTTTGGCTCAAAGCCCTTCAAACATTTGCAGTTGTCCGAGGATGTAGGATTGCAACTAGAGAAAGCCCCACAAAAAGCATAAACATCACATTGTTGTAATGGTAGAGACCAAAGCAAAGTCCACTGCTTCTCCAACCATGTTCGTTGCTGAATCTGCCCCGAGACAGACAAGAAGCATCGAGATACAGTTTTTGGATCGTAAAGAGAATAGGTGAAATACCTTTCGTTCTCATTCGTAACATAACTATAATTGAACATTTGATTTTCAGGAGCCACCTTGAAAATATGTGAATCTTTCATTCCATGGTTCATTGATCCAATACTGTTTAGACCTATTCCACAATAAGATATATGAACTGCTTTCGTCCGGGGCTAGCTCAAGAGAGTAAAGACCTGGTGCAGGAGTTTCCGAATTCTTCCATGAAGTGAGAGTTTGGGTATGATTTGTAATTTTGTTGAATCCAAGTTTAGCTCCTGGTAGCCAAGTATGGGTTGGATGATCAAAGCTTTGCCATAAAGGCTCAGCTGTATTACTAGACCCCGCTCTCAAGACAAAGTTTCCACTATCCAAAAGAACTGCTTGTACAGAACCAGAATTCGTGGTGGAGTTTAAATTTGTTGACCAAACCAGGGCTTTGGACTGGTTCAAGATAACTAAATTACCAGTCTAAGATGCTCAAGACCGAAGAAAATCTATCAGATACTGGTATTTCCCTATTTGCTACCCAAACAACGGTCATCTCAGATACTACTTGCTTGGAGTACCATATGCCTATATAGTAGTTTGAAAGCTGACCAGGTTTGAAGAAACCTAGCTCAAACATCCCACCAGCAGAAGCAATGGTTTGATCGCCCGAGAGAGATTGGTTTTCGCCAATAGTGTTAGCTGCTAGGTAAACATGGGACTTGAGAAATACACATAATAAAATAACGGAGAACACGAACTCTGAGTTTGGTTTGGTATCCATGGCTGCACAAAGAATTCAGCAGGCAGGCAAAGATTTACCGTGTGCATGTTACTGTACTTAAGCTATATGCCCTTTTCATGGTGGTCATAGCAAGTCAACTAAATCAACTATTCAACCCATCACATTCTGTCATTAGCTGGCATATGAACAAAGTCTTTGTAGAAAATTTAATGTATTACGGTTGTGCTCAACTTCATCAATGCTCTACAATAATGTGTAAACTCTTGAGGATTCACATATCGAACCCAAGAAGAGATGGAGGTATAGGATTAGGAAATGTTCGAGTTAGATTGCCTCAGCTGCAGATCGTTTTTTCTCGAACACCCACCAGGGTAGTCCTTTAAATCCCAGTCCCTCTTCGCCTTCGGCTCAAAAACGTTCAAGCAATAATAGGCGACGTTGCTTACCACACAAATCATAAACTTCGCATTGTTTTCTCCATTGGGACCTAACCAAATTGCACGGTATGTCCCACAATGACAACTGTTGAATTTGCCCCGAAGTAAGCATCACGAATCGAGAAAATATCTTTGGATCATAAAGAGGGTGGGTGAAGTATGCGTCACGGATGCAATGCATATCCAATACTGTGGAGTCCACAGTATGAGACACGCATTGCTTCCGTTCGGTCTAACTCAAGCGAGAAAAGACCCTGTCCAGGATCCTTCGAACTCTTCCGCGAAGTAAGAATTTGGGTTTGTTGGGTAACAGTGTTAAACCCAATTCTAGCTCCTGGCAGCCAAGTATGCATTGGATTATCAAGGCTTTTCCATAACGGCTCTGATAAACTATTACTGGACACCGAGAAGTTTCCGGTATCCAAAAGAAGTGCAGTGGCGGAGGAGGAGGTTAAATTGACCAAACAGGGGCTTTGGACTTGTTAAACAGGACTAAATTACCATCTGAAATCATTAAAACTGAAGAAAATTTGTCGGAAACTGGTTTTTCCCTGTTTGCCACCCAAACAACGGTCCTCTCGGATACTACTTGTTTGGTGTACTACATGCCTATGTAAAAGTTTGAAGAGTTACCTGGTTTGAAGAAACTGAGCTCAAAATTCCCACCTGCGGAGACAATAGTTTGATCGCCCGAGAGAGATTGGTTTTCGCTGATGGTGTCAGCTGCAAGGGAAACATGGGACTCGAGAAATGCACATAATAAAATCATGAAGAACACGAACTCTGAGTTTGGTGTGGTATCCATGGCTGCACAAAGCATTCAGCAGGCAGGCAAAGATTTACCGTATGCACGTTGCTGGAACTTAACCTACATCTTTTCATGGTGATCAGTAAGTCAACTAAGTCAATTATTACGGTTCATTAGCTGGCACATGGACGGACAAAGACCTTGTAGAAAATTCAATGTCAAGCCCTTTGCCAAAGATTCTGGTAGTATAACGGTTCTGTTCAAATTCGTCAATGCTCTACAGTCTACAAAGTGTAAACCCTTGAGGCATCACATATCCAAAACCCGAGAAGAGATGGAGGTATGAGTTAGGGATTAGATTGCTTCAACTGCAAGCTACTGTACCAAATTAAGCACTCATGCTTTCTATAAATTGTGGTTCATGTGTTATTTCAATGAGGCTACCTACGATCATGATTGCTTCGGTTCAAGAGGTTTTGAGCTTAAAAGTTGTTAATTATCATAATCTTTTCCAATCCATACAAGTTTAGCTAACAAAAGTAATCACAAAAACAAAGATATGTTGAAACTTTTAAGATTCCCATTACCACAAAGTTTATTCATTTCCAAGTCTCTGTTTTGGTCTGAATTCCTACAAACCGTACCCATCCAGACATGATTAATCTAAGGTAATGATTTCAGCACACCATTTTCTCCACCAATCATGATCTTGTTTCAATCCTTGTTTCTACAACTTGATTATCCTACAAACTCATTAATAACTACACAATCTAAATCCTTTGACAACAAAACCCAAATTAGATGAAATTTAACATGAATCGCAAAACCGTAAATGAGACAAAATTAGTGTGATTAGGTGTAGTGTTGTTGTTTGATTCCGATCTCCACCAGTAACAAGAGATGAAGCTGATAGACAACATTTCAATTCATTGAGTTATTTCAGACCCTACACCTGATTGATAAAGTATAAGAATATAGTTGAAACTCAAAAATACATTTTAACACAAGACACAACAAAAATACACAACCTAAAACTATGCTTATGATGACTCAGCTACATCAAATCTGTCAATGGATCATAGTTTCCACGAGTAGGTTCTAGGTTCTCCCTGCACAAAAGTAGGGTCTCACTTCCGCTACGCCTCATACACGTTGGAGTGTAACTTCATTGACACTTAAACATTACCTAAGCCAAACAAAATACTAAACCCTATTCAACAAAACAAGCAATGAGCAAAACAATCATTAAACCTACACAGAAAAGAAAAAGATCATCGGGATAACATTAAGAGTAACGGAACAAAGTAAGACACGAATAATCATTCTCTTACTATGTTTTTTTTCTTGGTGTTAGACGAAAAATCCCACCCCCGAATTTTAAAAATTGTTTTGGGTCTTAATGTGTGTGCCCGTGGGGCCCACGTGTTTTAGTCTTGTTCCTCCGGGGCCCAAGTATATCTCCCTCTCTTTCTTCCCTTTTCCCGTGCACCCTACACCTCTCTCAAAGCTCTGTCTTTGTCTCACGGTTCCCTCCCTCTCCCTCGCTGCACCCTCCCCTTCCTCGAGCTTCACACGACACACATACGTACACACGGACAACAACCACTCACCACCGGTCCACCACCTGGACCTTGTTACCACGAAGCTCGGACCGATGACCCTGAAGCTCAACAGTGGCGGATGCCACTGTTCATTGTCTCCCCGACTTGCATCGTTGTAGGGGAGCTTCGAAGACACTTTTAACTTTCCCCTTTGGTTCCCATATTTCAATTCTGATCGTGTGGGTGTGGATTGGACGACAAAACCACGAGGAAACAACTCGGAGGAGAAAAACCCAGATTCCGGCGAATACCCGTGGCTTTCAGGCCACTTTCCAGCCAACTCTGGCCACCACTCGCCTCGAAATTGGTATAGATCTCTTCCTTATCGTTTGGACTTCATTTTGGTGTATTAAATCGCATGCTTTGGTTAGAGCTCGAGGAATTTCTAGCCGAATTTCGGCTTTCTCTTTCAAATGGGTCCGGCGACCCACAATTAGAACTCGGGCCGGGCTTTCAAGCCCCAGAGCCCATTCAAACGAGGCCTTTGGGCCGAACAAAGTAAGGCCTTCGACCCGTTGAAAACTAAACCTTTTCTCCCTGTGCCGGGTTACTGAGCCCAAGCCCTTACAAAACCCAAAACCCCATTTTGAGGAATCGACCCAAAGTCTAGGCCCAGAACCGGCCTTTGACTTAGCCGCCTTTGACCTGACGGAATATTCAGTTGTTGACTTTTTGTTGATTTTTTTTGAAAATTAATCGAGATCTTTCTTAAGGTAATTCGATGTCCTTAATCCATTTTTGACGTCCGTTTTCTCAAATTTAATTGTTGTAATAGAGTTTTTTTTAATTGTACCCTTTATATGTTAGGTGCATTTATTGTGACTATTCCGTCTTCATTAGTTTGCGTGGTTCTTCGACGACGATGTATCTATGAGTGGACCTTTCTAAAATGCATGTTTTAATAATGGAAATGCATACATGAAAATCATGATTTAATGATTACGTTTTGTAAAACGTTTTACGATATATTATGCTTACTTAGAATATGTTGAATTATCATATTTTTTATAGAACCCATGTTTTTGTAGGATATCTGATGGATGACGATATACTATTTGGAACATTTTTTCACACACTTCTTTATAGTATAGATGATGGATAACTGTATACTATGAAGATGCTTTTGAGATATATGTACTTGTGTTTAGAAAGACTATATCCAATGTTTTGTGCATATCTAGTGGTCACTGTTTTGCCTGTTTGACAATGATCGTGTCGGGTGTAGGTTGGTCCTGTTTGGCAATGATATGTATATTAGCTTCGTGTCAGGCGTAGGTTGCGCCTATTTCGCAAATGAAGGAAGTGTTCTAAATGGTCTGTTTGGCAAATGAAGGGTTCTGATTGAATAGATATTGATACTGATACTGCTAGTTAGCACATTATATGCAAAATATGTTTTGTGAAGGTTTTATGGCATGCTAGGATTTTCAGAAAACCTACTACTTATTATGATATTAGTTTTCATAAAACTTATGAGTTAGTATATTGATAACTGTTTCAATATATATATATATATATATCAATTTGGTCATCTCATGTTTGTTTTGCACCTCCTTAAGGACTTATAATCGAGGCATACAATCCTGGCATCAAGGTACTCCTGCATCGGCATCTTCGATTTTTCTTGGTGTAGGACCCATCTTTTTATTCATTCAATTTTATATTATTTCTTTTTAATATTCTAGTTAGTCGTATGTTCTGAACATGTTCCTCATTTGCGTAACAATTATATTTAAACTTCTATTATTCTTATTCATATTTTTAGTTCTTACCACTGCATTCAATAAATGGCTTTCGTCACCTTCGGATGTCTGCTAGCACATGACCATTCCGATGTTCTACGAACATCGGGATCGGGGTGTGTCATTAGAAATGTTGAGAATGAATCTCACATTGATAAGAGTAAAGACCTTATATATGCTTATATAGTTATATGTAGTTAGGTCATACTCTAAATTGCCAATTAGTTTTACGGTGGAATCTTAATTTTCTTCAAAAAGCTACAGCTCTGATGTATAAAGTTCTTCCATCGCCGGCAATGGCATTTATTTAAGCAGGCTGATCCACAACTTTCAATACTAAGAGCATGTTCATATTTGTTTATTTTTAGGCAATGAATCGCTATGTTTTTCTAGAAACTCGTCTCCCGTCCTATTTATAGTAGCAGCATTCTGACACTGCGTACTAGTCCTTCTTGAACAGAACACACACCAGAATAAATCTGCAAGTCCCAATCTCTCTGCCGGTTTGGCTCAAAGCCCTTCAAACATTTGCAGCTGTTCAAGGATGTGACATTGCAACTGGAGAAAGCCCCACAAAAAGCATGTACAATTGTATTGGCTGAGACCAAAACATAGTACATTGCTTGGGAGCCTCAAACCATGTTAGTTGCTGAATCTGCCCTGAGACAGACATCAAACATCGAGATGCAATTTTATGATTATAACGTGAATAGGTGAAATAACTTTGATTCTCATTCGTAACATATCCATAATTGAACATGTAATTAAGCCTCAATTCAGGAACCAAGTTGAAGATTTCCGAACTTTCATTCCATGACCCGCTGGTCCAATATTGTTTACACCTATTCCACAATAAGATATCTCAATTGCCTTCATCTGGGGCTAGGGGCCAGCTCAAGAGAGTAGAGACCTGGTGCAGGATTCGAATCCAATTATTCTTGCAGGCCCAGCAGCCTTTCTGCTTGCCGAGAGCCCATCATCACCAACCCATACTCTCGTCAATAAAAGTTGAGTTTAACATGATCAGTGCATCAAGTGTTCTAGTTATATTTTGTTTTTCAATGTTGAAAGAGGCATCAAGTTCGAATCATCATCGATAAAAAAACTGATCGGGCACATAGTTGACTTATAGTTCTAGATGCCAAACTTGCATTCGGTAGATTCTATATGATGATTATCAAATTTTCTATTCCAATCATAGGAAAACCCATGTTATCAATTATGGATATACTAACGTAAAATCCTTTGTTCTAGACCAATTTTGTTTTTAGTTTTTGTCTTCTGAAAGTTGGAAGATGTAAAAAAATCTTCTCTTTATTCTTTTGATACAAGCGACATTCCTTTTAAATTAATATAAGTACAGTTGCACCAAGGGGTACGGCGGGAACATATCTAGAAGTATGGTTACACCCACATTTGCAACTAAAAAAATACATAACATAAATTTAATATGTTGCTATTATAGGTTTAGTTTGGACGAGAAAAAACCATAAAACGCACAAACAGCTTGGGCAGTGTGTCATTGAACCCAAAATGTTTTTATAAAACTGCTAGTTGTTGGGGTGTTTATTCTAATATACTATACTATAAAATTCTCAACTGATTGCCAGTCACTACCCTTCCAATGCCTATCAACCTTCTGGCAAACTCATGGTGATTGTGTTTTGGGAAAAAATGGTAGGCGTTTCAGAAGAGCGAACATGCCTAGAATTTCTGTGTTGAGAAAGCAGGTTGTTTGAAAAGTGGAAGAGATGTAGATTCATTGCCATAGGAGTTGTAACCCCCCTCCCAAAATTTAGTTTATAATTTTACTAAGTTTTGGTTTTTATTTAAAAAATTATTTTTGGATCTTAATTGGGAAGCCCAAGGGGCCCACCCCCGATTTGTGTCCCCGATTCCCTTCTTCCCCGTTTGCCAAGTGGCACCTCTCTCCTTCTCTTTTCTCTCTCTGGGTTCTCTCTTCACTCTCTCCCCCGAAACGCTCTGTGCAACTCCCTCATTCCCACCCCGAGAACTACACAGCAACATCACCCACAACATCTTCACCACCACCGTGAGTCACTCTCCGATGACCATACCACCCTCGGACCCCCTCCTTCCTCTTCTCTCTCTGCGAGTACAAAGGCCGAGACCACCCACATAGTTGTTAGTGTGTAAATTGTGATCTGATATGGCAGTTGTATTTCTAGCTTATATTGCTAGGATGATTAGCTAAATTGGTTGTCTGTTTTCTTATCTAAGTCTCATAGGCCTTAAGTAAGTAAATGTACATGTGTCTTCATCTCATAGGGTGTAAGATGGATGGCTATGTGTGATGAATGAAGATTGTGTGAATGAAGATGGATGGCCTTAAGTAAGTAAAATTGCTTGGATGTAATTTTGAATACTGCCAAATATCAAAAATGTAAACAGTTAAGAGGAGTGAGATATTCCTCACTACCTCTGTGTGATGAATGAAGAATGTGTGAATAACATTTGCTGAGTCATATTCTCTTCTACATGCACTCTCTCTCTCTTGCATCATATTCGTCATTTTTGTACTGCTAATTCTTCCATTTGTTGTTAGAATTTGTGAGTCACATCTCACAGAGCTCAATTTCTTTTTGCACTAACATGGCCTCAGAGCCAGGTTAGGTCTAAAATCTCTGGGCGTCGATTCTGTGAGAGATAGTGAGCGAGTGTTTGCAACACATCGTTGCAAAGAAATAGTAGAGAGAGGTGTGATCTAAGTCTAACATGGCCGAATCTGGTGGAGGGGAGCTTCGCGCTCCGGTATTTAACGGAGAAAATTTCTATTTCTGGCAGATTCGAATGAAAACAATTTTCCGATCCCACGAGTTATGGAACATTGTGGAGTGAGGGTTTCCTACTTCAGCAAAGGAGGAAGGAGAGCTCATTGAGGCGGAAAAGAAGTCACATAGTGAAAATCTGGCCAAGGATGCAAGGGCTCTTGGAATCATTCAGGGAGCGGTATCGGTTCAAATTTTTCCATGTATTACAACTTTGGAAACTGTGAAAGCAGATTGGGATATTTTGATATTTTGAAGTAAGAGTATGTAGGGGACAAATAGGTACGATCTGTGAAATTACAAGGTTTGCGTCGTGATTTTGAGTATACCCGTATGAGTGAGAGTGAATCTCTAGCTGCATATTTAGCTAGGTTGTTTGATTTGATAAATCAGATGCGAAGTTATGGAGAAGACCTTAGTAATCAGAGAATTGTGCAAAAGTTGTTGATTAGTTTACCCAGAACATATGACAGTATTGCTTCTGTTATAGAAAACACTAAAGATATTGATGAAATTGATGCACAAGATGTGGTTGCCATATTGAAAGGGTATGAACTGAGATTAACCAGACATGAAGAGAGTAGCACAGAACGTGCATTTGCTAGCTTAGATATTTCATCTAAGAACAGTAAATTTGGTAATCAACATACCAATATTGGTGGATCAAAATCTCAGAAGAACTTCAAGTTCAAAGGGAAGCAGTGAACTAACAGGTTTACTCCAGGTGTAAGGAATGAAGCTAATAACACTGGAGATGCTTGTAAATACTGTGATAAACTTCACTATGGAGAATGCTGGCTGAAAGGGAAGATTAAATGTCACAAGTGTGGAAAACTTGGGCATATTGCCAGAGTTTGCAATCTTAACAAGAATGTTTAGCAAGGGAATTTTGCAAACAAGGTGGGTGAGCAAAGAAACTTCGCAAACAAAGTGGGAGAACCCAGAAATCTTTTCATGGTGAAGCAATCAAATGAAGTGAAAGATGTGAGTGATGCCTAGTATATAGACAGTGCGTGCAGTAATCATATGACCTCCAGAGAGGAGTTACTTGTGGACATTGATAGAGGTGTTCAAACAAAAGTGCAAGTTGGCACATGGGTTTTGGTTGATGTGAAAGGCAAAGGAACCTTGGTTATTGATACTGATAAGGGGAAGAGGTACATAAGAGAAGTTATATTAGTACCTGGACTGGCAGAGAATCTCTTAATGTTGGACAAATGACTGAACATGAGTACTTTTTGGTGTTTGGTGATTATAAGGTGGACATTTTTGATGATAGAACTCTGACAAATTTAGTGGTTAGTGTGAAGCAAAAGGGGAACATATGCTTTCCACTTGTATTCAAATCAGACTATCAATTGGTACTGAAAACCAATGTGCATCAGTGTAGTACAATATGGCATAAAAAGTTTGGTCATCTGAATTATAGGAGTCTGAAACTATTGCAGGAGCATGATATGGTTCTTGGATTACTTGAAATGCATGATAGTGAAGATGTGTGTCAAGGATGTGCATTTGGAAAGAATCGTAGAGAGTCTTTTCCAAGGGAATCAGTTTGGAAAGCAAGTATGCCATTAGAGCTCATACACTTAAATGTGTGTGGCCCTATGCAAACACCAACAATAAATGGAAATAGATACTTTGTTACATTCATTGATGACTACTAGAGGATGTGCTAGATATATCTTTTGAGACACAAGTCAGATGTATTCCATGTATTTAAGAAATTCAAGGCTATGGTGGAACTTCAAAGTGGCTATTCTGTGAAGAAATTGAGAACAGATAGAGGAGGAGAGTTCATCTCAAATGAGTTCGAAAAGTTTTTTGAGGCTTTGGGTTTGGAGAGGCAACTCACTATTGCCTACTCTCCACAACAAAATGGAGTTGCAGAGAGGAAAAACAGAACTATAGTAGAAATGGCTAAATGCATGATTCATGAGAAATGTCTTCCTTATAATCTTTGGGGTGAAGCTGTGATTACATCTGTGTATTTACTAAATAGATGCCCTACAAAAGCATTGAAGAATGTGACACCTTTTGAGAAGTTCAGTGGAAGGAAACCTGGGATCAAGCATCTGAGAATGTTTGGTTCAGTGGGTTATTCTCTTATTCCAGGAAATCTGAGACATAAGCTTGAAGAAACTAGTGTCATTGGTATTTTTATCGGATATGGTACTTGTGAGAAAGGATACAGATTACTAAATCCTGAAACACAGAAGGTGATACTCTCAAGGGATGTGATTTTTGATGAAAATGGCAAATGGGATTGGGAAAAACATAAGGTCAAGGAAGTGTGCATTCCATTTTCTACAAATGAATTCATGGAAATAAATGAAGTTGATGGATGTTCAGATTCCATGGAACCAACTATTCCTGGAAGTTCTCAGACTCAAATTGCAAACTGTCCACCTATTAACTCTGGTGAATCAAGCGGCTCAATTTTTACATCCCAGTTTGATAATACTCCTTTGAGATATAGAAATCTGAGTGGAATTTATGAAAGATGTCATGTGTGTATCATTGAACCAGAGTGCTATAATGAAGCTACACATGATGAAGCATGGAAGAAACCAATGAAAGATGAAATTTGTATGATTGAGAAAAATCAAACTTAGGAACTAGTGAAAAGACCATCTGATAAACCTGTGATTGGAGTGAAATGGGTGTACAAAACTAAATTGAACTTGGATGGGTCAGTTCAAAAGAACAAGGCTAGACTTGTTGCAAAAGGCTATGCACAAAAGCCCGAAATAGACTATAATGAAACTTTTGCACCTGTTGCAAGGTTAGACACAATTAGAACACTAATTGCACTGGCTGCAAAGAACAAATGGAAACTATTTCAACTGGATGTAAAGTCAGCATTTCTGAATGGTGTGTTAGAAGAGGAAGTGTATGTTGATCAGCCAGAAGGGTTTATTGTTCAAGGAGAGGAAGATAAGGTTTACAGGTTGCATAAAGCATTGTATGGTTTAAAACACGCACCTAAGGCCTGGTATGGTGAGATAGACTCATATCTTACACTCTGTGGGTTTAAGAAAAGCATCACTGAGGCAACTTTGTATACCAAATGTAAGGGAGACTCAGAAAGGATTATAATATCAATTTATGTTGATGATATAATATACACTGGAATTTGTCAAGAGTTAATGGATGATTTTAAATCTAATATGATGCACAAATATGAGATGATTGATCTGGGACTCTTACATCATTTTCTTAGTATGAGAGTTATACAAA